TATATTGTTAAAAATACAAAATACGATATTAAAATACCTGGTTTTCATAAAAAACTTCCAAAAAAGAAAAAAATATTTTAATGCATACGATAAAGTATTTCAAAGCTAAAAAATCATATTTTGTTTTTTATATACCAAAAAATAATGTTTTAACATGTATTTTGGCTTTCATAACCAGTTTATTAAAGTTAAGAGAACATTAACTAAAATTTTAAAAAAACAACAAAAATTTTATTTTGTTTTGTTTAGTATCAGGGATAACGACTTATATGTAAAACGTATTCCTGATATTAAAAAGGTATTTTTTTTACAACATAGAACAATTAGATTCCTACTCGATAAGATAAGGAGTACCTTACAGACGAGGACTTTTCTTAAATTGTAGACAAATCGACAAAGTTTAGAAAAACACAATACAACCTTAGATTTTATCAGACATTAAAACAATGCAACCTACCTTAGATGGGGTGTAGTTGGGGTGCTAATACCTTCCCTTTACATAAATAGTCTTCGTACCCCATATTTGAGACTAATTAGGGTTCCAGTGACCATAATTCAAGGTAACGACTCCTAATCCATATTTTACTAATACGAAACAAGAATTTCTTGTTCCTTTATATTTTGCTAGATAGACACATTGCACCATTTTCCTAGACGCCACGCAGTGTGAGAACAAGTTATTATGGTCTCCACCTTGAAGGACATTTGGGATTGTCTCCAATAAAATTTCTCACAGCAATCCCTTGCTAATTCTGTCTAGCTCAAATTTCACCTCTTCTCTGTTACCAAAGGTTCCAAATCCATCTTTGAATACCTTGCTCAAGCTAAGAATTTGGCTGATGAACTCACTGCGATCCAGGAACCTGTATCCAACTCTAATCTAGTTACTTATGTACCTTGTGGTCTGGGTCTTGACTATCAAATGATTGTGACAACAATTTTGAACTTCCCACCGCTTCCTTCCTTCTCGGACCTACGAACTCGTCTTCTTGCTTTTGAAGGGCAACAAGCCTTAGCAGCTCAGATGACTCTTGTGGCTTCCCTTGCTGCTTTTGTTGCTGCTTGTTTCAACCGTGAACCTCGTCACCCCCGGCTATGTGACCAACCCTCTCGTCCTTTTGGTGGTTCATCTCAAGTTCACCTCTACTCTAGCCTAGGCCAGCTTTTCTAATGTGATCCACGTCCTTCCTCATTCTCTCAAGGTCTTTTGGGTCCTCCACCCTCTCGCCAGTCAATTCATTACTGGAATTGCCAACAATTTGGTCATGTTTAAGCCAAGTGCTCTTATCCTCGTGCTTTCACTGGTATGCAAGTTACGTCTTCTTCAGACCCTAATTGGTCTTTGGACTCTGGTGCCACCAATCACTTGACCTATGATGCGCAAAAAATTTACTCTGGCACTTTATATGTAGCTTCTGTTCAGGTTGTTGTTGGTAATGGTGATACTCTCCCCATCACTCATTCTGGTAACCTTTCCTTTTCTTCTGATTCCTTTGTCTCCTCCTCTCTCATGTTCTTCGTGCTCCTTCTCTTCGTAAAAATCTTTTATTTGTCACTCAATTTACTCGTGATTTTAATATTAGTATTACTTTTTTCCTTTCAGGATATCAAATTTGTGACTTACACGTGGTGTTGTTCTCTTTTAGGGTCTATGTAAAAATGGTCTTTATCCTATCTTTCCAACGTTATCTTCTAGCTCCAACCAAGCTTTTTCTTCTAGCCTTGCTTTGTTTTTTTTGTGGCATTGTCGTCTTGGTCATCCCTCCAATAAAGTTCTTCGCACTTTTATCTCTCGCTACTTATTAGGTTCTTTTTCTCATTTATCAAATCTCCCCTATAGCAATTGTGCATTAGCTAAATCAATCAAACAAACTTTTCTTTTCATCTCATGACCATTGTTCTACTAAGCCATTTGCTTTAATAGATTCAGATGTGTGGATGTCTCCTGTTGTTTCTGTTTTTGGATATTGCTATTATATCTTGTTTACGAATGATTACACTCATTATTCATATATTTTCCCTATGCATCTTAAATCCAAAGTTTTTGGTCATTTTTCTACTTTTGCTATATATGTTAAACTCAATTCTCTTTGTCTATCAAACAATTTCAAAGTGATGGGGGGAAGGAATACGATAACCTGCAATTTAAATAGTTTTGTGCTACTAATGGCATTGTGCATCGTTTTTCTTGTCCTCATACACCCTAACAGAATAGGTTAGCAGAGCCAAAACATCATCATATTGCTTATATGGGTCACATCCTTTAACACACTACTCACATGCCTCATAATCTATGAGTCAAAGCATTTTGTACGGTAGTTTCTTTGATTAATCGACTTCCAACCCTTATCCTTCAAGGAACTTCCCCCTATAAGTTATTATTTGGCATTTCCTCGAATTACACATTCCTTCGTGTTTTTGGATATATTTGTTACCCATATCTTGGAGATTATGTAACTAACAAATTACAACCGTGTTCTCTTCAGTGTGTTTTTGTTGGCTACAGTGATCATCATCATGGTTACCGCTACCTCCATCCTCTATAGGTTGGCTTTATGTTTCTCGCCATGTCATTTTTCATAAAGACCAACTCTATTATGCTGTTGTTTCTAAGCCTATTAAGCTCTTAGATACTCTGTGGATTCAAGGTCTCTTAATTAAACTTCGTTGTTCGCTTACTCGTCCGGTTTTGCTTAACTGTGACAACCTGCCTGTCACATACTTTGCCACTAATCCTATCTTCCATGCTCGTACAAAACACATTGCTATTGATTATCATTTTATCATGAACAGGTTGTCTCTGGCAATCATAAAGTTCAATTCAACCTTTCTCAACTTTAGCTCGCAGATGTCATCACAAAAGGGTTATTAGTTGACTATTTTGAACGTCTTGTTTCCAAACTCGTCACCTATCGAGTGTTCAGTTTATGGGGAAATGTTAGACAGTTATCCTAATTATGATTAGTAACAAATGGTTTAAAACCAATGAATGCCAGCATATAAGCCTTGCAGCTGTTACGCTATTATTAGATTGTTGTAACTGATAAGTTTACGTTTATATTTTTTATGTATAAAGAGATTGTAAGATCAGTTTTGATAGATAAGAAAACTCTATTTCTTCAAACAGTTTCTTGCAACACATGAATGATCATCAAGGAATACTAATATTCCTTTTATTATATTTGTTGTTTCCTTAAATTAGCTATATATTTTTTTATTGATTAATCTGATGTTATTTTGATGAGTATTTAATTCAAGATTTGTGATTTTACGTACCAAATTACATTGTGTGTACGCGGGAAACAAGCATATGATGGCGGATGCAAAGCTTTGTAAAAAAAGTTCATTCCCCACGAATGAGTGCATAGCTATGAATTGTGATTCCGATTGCAAGAAAATTCATGGAAGCAAGGCTAAAAGGGTCTGCAATGGTTTTCTTTTCTGCAATTGTTTTCTGCCTTGGTAGTTTCTGCTATATATAGCCATCTATGCCCACGTTGCGTGGCAGTCTTGGCACATCAAGATGTATTGTCAAAACAAATAAAAAGGTGTGACCAAAAAATAATAAATAAAAAGATTGTCTTATTTTTCATTATTAACCATGTGTTAAAACATGTGATTTGATCAAGAAATAATGAAATTATCGAAAAAACAAATCAAGATTGTATATTTTAAATTCAAATCCAATTAATATAATCATTAATTATATAAAAAAATAAAGTATCATATCATAAGATTTTTATCATGGTATCATAACCAACAATGCGTATATACTATACTGAAGTTCTTTAACAATTTTTGCTTGACTATTGCCCATAATTTTCCATCGCCCATTAGTTTCATAGTTTTCCATCATCATACTTACATCCGTACAAAACAAAAATCATATTAACATCAACCTATTTTTAATGAAAAGTTTTAGACTATATCCCATAATTTGTTTAGGTGTCCTTACAATCACAATTTGGAGATATTTTTTCACTACGCCATTCATGGCATTTCTCTTGTATATTTCCTAAGTTGCAAACTCAAATAAGGTTTGACTTTTATTTTTTATAGCACACGGTAGAGTTAAATATGGTCTCGTAGAATTATTTATTTTCTTTCATTGTTATTGGCTTGAATAACTTGGTTTTACGAGATCTTTTTTTTTTCATATTTAAATAATAAGATTTCAATATTATCTATTTCAGACTCATGAAGAGTTTTCTTCAAAATATCCATAAGTTTGAAAGGGCATGTTGAGAAAACAAATCAAAACAATATATTTTGGATTAAAATCCAATCAATATAATCATCAATTATGGTGGAAATCAAGTGTCATATCAAAAGGTTTTAAATGATTAAAGATTCTAATTTATTTCCATAATTGTTTGATTGTGTTTCTATATACCTTTTAATTTGTTAATTGTAATTTGATTGTGTTTCTATATACCTTTTAATTTGTTAATTGTAATCATATATCACATCCATAAATAAATATATTCTTATCATGGTGCTTATTATTGCCCGCTCGCCATAACTTTATTTTACTTTTTATATACTTTCTTTTATATATTAACCTTTTTATATTTGATATTTTCTCTATTTTACACTATTATTTATAAGTTCTCTATTTTATATATATACTGAAACGTCAAAAATATATTATACCAATAAGTGAAACAGAATGATATTTGAAATGGAATTAATAATCTTGACATCAGTGTCGGGATTTTATAAAAATGAATAATTTAAAAACAAATAAAAAAATATTAGAAAAATCCCGAATCAATTGTTCAAAATAGGCAAAAAAAGCAATTAAGAAAGAATTATGATGCAGAAAATAAGAACACAAAACCTCCACCATCCTCCATTATGAAATTTGGAACTCAAAATCCTGCAATATTTTACTATATTTTCAAGTTAATAAAATATAATTCTGAATAATTTGGGTATAATCAACGCAATGTGTTGTTTTATACATGATCATATGTGTTTTAGTCCCTTAATTAGAATAGGGAGTGGTATTATTCCCATTTTATAAATTATTAACCTCACTCTATTTTTATTACAATCCACAAGGGGGGAGGAATAGCATGGCTCCTGTTAAACAAATTCGTTTGACAACAATTTTCCAGACTTTTCAATATATAGATAAATCATGGGGAAAAGAATAATAATCAAGATTTCAAATATCTGCAGTGGATGGAAAAATTAAGTTTTAAAATGGGGATATTTTCTTTTTTTA